TGAGGGCTCTCTGACCCTCCCATAGACAGCAAGGTAACTACCACGTTCAAGGTCCAGAAAAGTACCAAGATGATCGACAAAGTAGTCCGTGTGACATCAGTGGTTCAACTGTAAAGTTACGAAGCTACGAGAATACTTTTTTGCACAAATAAAACAAAAAGAATGACTTTATTCCACATTTTCGTCTCTACTGCATTACTTTGGATGCGCGTTCACGACAGTATCATGACGCGAGCGTGTGGCGGCGCTGGTGCTGACCCAAATCTGCACTGCCACATGCTACTGTCGTGAACGCGCGTCCACAAGTGACGCAGTAGAGACGAAAATGTGGAATAAAGTCATTATTTTCGTTACTCTACTGCGTCACCTGTGGACGCGCGTTCACGACAGTAGCATGTGGCGGCGCTTACCCAGATATGGGTCAGCGCCAGCGCCGCCACACGCTCGCATCATGATACTGTCGTGAGCGCGCATCCAAAGTGACGCAGTAAAGACGAAAATGTGGAATAAAGTCATTCTTTTTGTTTTCTTTGCGCAAAAAAAAGTATTCTCGTAGCTTCGTAACTTTACAGTTGAACCACTGATGTCACACGGACTACTTTGTCGATCATCTTGGTACTTTTCTGGACCTTGAACGTGGTAGTTACCTTACTGTCTATGGGAGGGTCAGAGAGCCCTCAGATTTAATCAAAAATATCTTAAATTGTGTTCCGAAGATGAACGAAGGTCTTACGGGTTTGGAACAACACGAGGGTGAGTAATTAATGACAGAATTTTCATTTTTGGGTGAACTAACCCTTTAAGATATTCACCATATATAATAAGTAACACTTTATATTAAGGAACTATTCCCTCCATCTCTAACTAGTTGCTTTTTAGCATGCATATTACTTGCATATTGGCTGTTTATTAGTACTTATAGAGCACATATTAATGCATTATTCTGCATGACCATATTACAAAACAACTACCTTACTGTCAGCAAGCAAGCAAATTAGAAGTTTATGAAGGTAAAACCTTTAGTTAATCGTAAATATGGGTTCCCTATTTTAAAGTAAACTTACTGTTAACCATTTAACATGTTTTTACCATCTTTGACCATTAAAATTATGATCCCTTTTTACATTGCTGCTACAATGTGATAAAGAGATAAGCCAAAAGAAAAAAAATTGTCGATTTATTGGTTTTGGATTATGTGGCACCTATAGGGCCTTTCGCACCGCGGGAACCTTTTCATAGTACCAGAACTAATTGTGGAACTACCCACTTTTTGGCGTTTTCGCACCGCCGGAACTGGGTGCGATGTTAGTACCGGACTGCCTTTTTCGAGAACCAAATTAGCTCCTACTCCGGAGCAGGGTCTAACCAGCACAACTGGTACTAATCGCGACGCAAGTAGACATTGATTGGCCAAACGCATATGAAAAC